AAATATAATTTAAGACATAGACGTATGTTCTAACTCCAACAATGTGCACATAAATTGTCAGTGGGAATTTGGTCGTCTTGAATACTCCTGGTTTCAATTTCCCTATAGGGTAAACGAACTAACCCTTATTTCCGCAGTTGTAGCAGTTGACAGATCAGCTGAACTGAAAAGCCACAAACCCCTCGACTTATGGGTGACTATTTTACCATTTAGTTTTGAATTTGGGACAGCCGTTAATCAAAATTGTGACCGCCGTCGTCTGGAGAGTCGTATTCTGATTCTAACTTGGTCCATTCGTTTTTGGCAGATGTCAGTCTGTTTGCACGCCTATGGATTCCCATCTAGAGCTAAATAGGACTGTTTCGCATAAGGCGACGGAATAATGCGAACCAGGCTGTTGTGTTTAGAACGATTGGCAAAGTCGCTGCATCCATCAAGAAAGAGATAACTGAATTGTCTCTGTGTAGGGTAGAACAGTAATCTGAAGTGAAGAAAACGTGTGACGCGACCTGTTGTTCGGTTGCTGGGTGGTCACTGATCGCCGCTGCCACCAGCGTGAATACACTGACAGAGCTCGCCTTGCCCGCAGAGTGAACCTGGCTAGACTTTATACATTATACCACGACCTTGTGTCCGTTGTCGTCAACTGGGGCAATCACTAAATTAAAGGTTGGATAGGGGTGGTTTTAATTCTTATTCTGTAGTTTTCCCGTACCCTTAGCGTCTCACCTTCTTGACTGTCATTAAGCGGGGGCCCTGAGCTAAGACGACTGGAAATGGGTTTCGGAACAGAGGTCAGATGAACTTGTTGCCATCTCTTAGGTCTGTCACCTACTTTCCAGATTTTCCATCCAACCGAACCAGACATCTCACGGTCACCTGCCGATAAACATACGGTGTTGGGACTATGACGACAGCAGTGAAATCGTCAAAAGTCGGGTAGTTTTACGTGAAATTGAGCTTTAATATCAAATTTTTGAAACATAGTTGCGAAAATTCCCACTGAAAAATTCAAAAGGCGATTTGGCGTCTTCAGACCTGTGCATTTATACCTTGTAACCTTGTCATCTCGACTTTGCCCATGAAGACATTTGCGAGATACTATCAGTAACCTCGACTTCTACGGTCGATACGTAAACGATATTTTCGGCCTGGCGGATATTACCACCGACACAGACGCCCTGGTCCAAAAGCTTAACAGTGAACAACCCTCGCTAAAGTCCTCTGTGAACTTCGCATATTTTCGACTTCTATGTAACTGTTTTGGCCTGAAGACGAATTACCGAAAACACGCGTTTGCCAAATTGACTTAACAAATACAGTATATTATCAATAGAAAAGGAGGCATTCACCGGGAGAGGTGTATTGGTAGTCTGGCGTCTCGAGTAGTTGCTTCGTCTACCCATCTTCAGAGACTGGAAAGTCCTGCGCACAGCTCCCCGTAAATGGCGCACCTTGTTTGATACCTGGCCCGCCAATGCCGCCTGTGTGGCTATATCTGACCCGTATGTCACTGTGACCTGAATTTCCCCCGCCCTCGTCGATCGCGGAGATAGTCGACGGCCCTGGTTGTCTCGCGCTGTGACTGTCCCCCGTTAAGAAGGTTCATAAAGTCGGATAGGGGGGAGGCAAATTGATGTGGCGGTTGACAGAGCAGTCGGTGGACACGCAGGCTTCTTGAACCTGCCCTGCTGTATGATCATCGCCCCGGCCCACAATCTCAATGGCGTCAAAGTTGAAGATGTGACCCATTTGCGCGTCATGGGTTGTTAACTCCGAATTTGAACCCAACCTCCGCAAGGCCAACTTATGCTCGTGCATTCGCGTTTGCAAGTACGTTGGGGAAACTGGCCGACGAAGGTTGGACCTAAAATCGGCGTTAACAACCCATGACGCGCAAATGGGGCACATCTTCAACTTTGACGCCATTGAGATTGTGGGCCGGGGCGATGATCATACAGCAGGGCAGGTGCAAGAAGCCTGCGTGTCCACCGACTGCTCTGTCAACCGCCACATCAATTTGTCTCCCCCCTATCCGACTTTATGAACCTTCTTAACGGGGGACAGTCACAGCGCGAGACAGTCAAGGCCGTCGACTATCTCCGCGATCGACGAGGGCGGGGGAAATTCAGGTCACAGTGACATACGGGTCAGATATAGCCACACAGGCGGCATTGGCGGGCCAGGTATCAAACAAGGTGCGCCATTTACGGGGAGCTGTGCGCAGGACTTTCCAGTCTCTGAAGATGGGCAGACGAAGCAACTACTCGAGACGCCAGACCTCCAATACACCTCTCCCGTTGAACGCCTCTTCGTCTTTTAATCATCTACTTGCCCGTATCTTTTAATTCGCTACTTCAATAGCCATATAAATGTACAGACCTGAAGAGAATTTATCGAAAGCAGACGTATGCTCGCCAAATTGCCCTTTGAAACTTATAGTCCCTCAGTTAAATTAAATGCTAGAAAACTGCGAGTATTACAAGCTGAGTGAGGGTAAACGCTTCCAAGTCATGTAATAAGGTTTCTGAAGTCACGGTATTATAGATAGCACGCAATAAAAAAATTCCGCCTGAAACCGCGAAGGAGCATATGATGCATCCGCCGAGATGGCGGTGTCGTAACCGTACGGACGATAGATGAAAATTTTACTTGTCTCCACTAAAAGTCATCCTGGTGCCGTTTTTGTATTGCGTTTTTGCATAATACGCAGGTAAGGAGGGCTTCGGGTGAGCAAAACCTCCCTAAAATGTCGACGATCTGATAAACGCACGTGCGCGTTTTATTGTACGGTAAGGGGACAGCGAGGAAGTGCTGTAACGCTAGTGATATGGCCAAAGGTAGTCAAACTTATTAATGAATTTTGGCAGGGGGTATGCAGCATTAAGAATGCATTAACTACATGGACCCTTGGGACACAAGCCACACAATCTGATGAGGTTAAACTGACATGTCACTTAACCTGAGATTAATTAACCTTTCATAAATATATGGTGTTGTCGAACCAAAAGGGAACATATTCAGAAGGTAGGCCAATAAGGACGAGGGAGACAGGCACGGTAATTTTTGACATCCCACTTGTCAGACAGTGCATATTTCCCCATACGGACAGCATAGGTGTTGTCAGCAAGGTGAAACAGACACGGTGACTTGCGCGTGAATTAGTTTATAGCGAAAGCAAACTTGCGCAGCATCGGCCGCACTCACTCCTCCCCCACCTGAGCCCGATGCCAAGACAGAGTCAAAAAGACCGGAGGCGTGGGAGGGCGCAGGTGGATGGCACGGTCGAGTCCACACCTTGGCGTTCCACTCCACACTCCCTGGTCCACGCAGCAAATGACCAGGATTTTAATCAGCAACAAAAGGGACTGGCGCGACCAAAGTCGCACCTAGGCGTGCTGCCACACCTGACTCGGATCCCAAGGAGTGGGAATGCCATAAAGGCCACATTAAGAAGGAACCATTGCAGCCTGACACTTAGACCACCAACCAGCCGCTCCATACAAACATACAACACAGGGCCGACTGTGAGGTCCGAGTTATCCCGTCAGTTGGCAACCTTCCAAGCCACAGCTTTTAGCACGCCGTGACAGCATCAAGCGCGTCAGATTGTTTATAGTGGGGAAAATGCGCTGAGTCGTCGACCTCAATCATCCTTCCCATTATCAGGCCCCAGTCACTATCTTAGCCGATCAGTTGACAGGTGCGGAGAATTGGCGCGGTGACCGACATATTTAATGACCTTGTATACGCGCGCCACATACACGACATGGCCCCTCAAACAAAGCACTAGGATTTCGCACAACGGGGGCTGAGCGGCAAACATCTCATACGCGTAATTTTGCCGTAGGTCACGCTAAGAAGGAGCTGTTTCAATCTGGCCCTCAACCCACTTGTCCGTCAATCCACACAAACAAACAAGCACACACACACACACACACACAACTGGGCGGGCTGTATGAACTGAGTTGGGACGTCAGTCGGCAGCCTTCTAAGCCACTGCGCTTGACGTACCGTGACAGTCTCAGACTCGGATCACAAATGCAGCAGAGGAGCTGTGTGGAGACGGAGCCGAGACTCACACTTCCCACTTGCGTGGGAGCTAGCAGGTGGATGTTTGTGGCGGGTGGTGACGTTGTGTGATGAAGGTGGAGGAAGGTGTTATGGTGTGGTTTAGACGACGGTTGTCCACCACAGGTTTTCGCAAGCGCGCTTTTTGGCCTAATAGGCCCATGCGGTGAGTGAATGTGCGGGTGCAGTGAGAACAGTTGGGGCGGGTGCGTAGTGTGTATGTTGGTGCTCGAAGTACAAGTTCGCTAGTCTCTGGGCGGTGGATTCGCAAACGAGAGACCAGGCTGTCATGTGTGTGATGAAGGTGCGATCGCAATGACGACAGGTATGAATCGAGTCCACATCGCTGGATATGGGATTGTTGGTGATGAGGTTTGAAGTTGATCGGAAGTCGGACGCTGTCACATCGGTGGGGAGAGGGTGAGGTCGTTTTGGTGGTTGTGCTGTTCGCTGCGGTCGACGCAGCTGTTGAGGCAGGGCTGTGGCGAGCGCTAAAGACAGAACCGTCAATCCCAGACTATAAAAATCAGGATAAGACCAGGGTTATGGAAGAATTAATAATCAAAAGTCAAACGACCTGACAATCCCACTCATGCCAAGCGCGTCGCGTCGAGTTGTGTTCATTCCATTCAGTTAAACAACCAGTAAGTTCAAGAATGAGGAACAGGTAGGGAAAGGCAAGATAGTCTGGCGCCTCGGCACAGGGCGAGTGGTGTCGGATGATGATGATGATGATGATGATGATGATGATGATGATGATGATGATGATGATGATGATGATGATGATGATGATGATGATGATGATGATGATGATGATGATGATGATGATGATGATGATTGGGTAGACTGAGACGGTGTAAACGATGGTGGCGGAGGTGCCAGCTGGCGCCGGGTTTGTGGAAGGGGCGAGAGTGGGAGAATTAGACGAATTACTGATGGCGCATTGAGTCCGAAGATGTCCAATAACACTGACTTGTGTCTGGAGCGTCTGCTGACATCGTGAACAGATCGGGAGGTGGTTGAGCGTTAGCACCGGACTTGACTTCTTTGTCGGCGGAAACCTGTGGCGACATCTCCATAGAAGAGCCGTTTGGGTGACCGCTCGTCGTCGATTGCGCACCAGCTAGCCTTTCCAGCGCAGACACACCTGTCTCAGTGTAGCGTAGATGCTGAGGATTCCCGTCCGATCCACCACATCCGTGTCCGGGATCCGGTCCTGCCACCTCGGTTTCAATATCCGTCATAGACAGCTGAGGTGGAAGTGGTTCAGCCTTCGCGACTGCTTATTGTACATTGTCCAGATCTCCGATTCATACAGCAGCGTCAGCAGGATGACCGCCTTGTACATCTTCAGTTTGGTGCCGATGTGGAGACCGTGTCGATTCTAGGCTATGCTCTGCAGGCGGTCGAAGGCATGGCTTGATATAAAAATACCGCAGGCCACTTGATAATCGATTTTGATGGTGAGGGAAAGGGTGCTACTCAGATAGGCGAAATTGTCCACGGCTTTCAGTTGGGCATCGTTCACGTTGATTTGGGGTGGGACGTAGGTAGCGTCGGGTGACGACTGATGCAGAAACGCCGTCTTCTCCGTGTTGATAACCAGGTCGAAGTTGTCGCAGGCGACGGCGAAGATGTCCATGCTCCTTTGCATTTCCCCTTCCGAGGTGGCGTTGAGGGCGCAGTCGACGACGAAGAGAAGTTCATGAAAGGAGGCTGCGGATACACGCGACTGGAAGTACGTCTGCCACTGATTGACGAGGCGGCCGTCCGTCCTGTAGGCGATGCGGATTCCGGGGCGTTCGTCACGGTGGACGTTCATCAGCATGACAGAGAACATGAGAGTGAAGAGGGTAGACGCGAGGACGCAGCCCTGCTTCACTCTGGTGGTCACTGCGAATGCTTCTGAGACATGTCCACTGTCCGTGACTCGCGTCATCATGCCATCGTAGAGCTAACGCATCAGCTGAGTGAATCGTTTGGGACAGCCGAACTTCTGCAGGACTTTCCACAGTCCTTCGAAACTCACCGTGTCGAAGGTTTTCCTCAGATCCGCAATCGTATAGTAGAGGTGGGCCAACATCTCCTGACACTTCTCCTGCAGTTGACAAGCGGCGAACATTATGTAGGTGGTTCTACGATGACGATGGAAGCCTCACTGGCTTTCCGGTAGGAGACCTTGTTCCAGATGGTAGTTCAGGCGGTTGAGGTGAATGTGAGCGAAGATCTTCCCGGCGATGCTTATCACGGAGATGTCTCGATGGTTGTTGCAGAACTGGTGAATACCTTTCCGCTTATAAAGGTGGACGATTGTGGAGTTTTTGAGATCCTGCGGGACGTCTCCTTGACACCACATCTCCTGAAATAGCGCCATCAGACAATCCATGAGTTGGCGGCCACTGTGCTTGTAGATCTAAGCAGGGATCGCGTCCGATCTGGGCGCTTTCCCGCCGGAGAGCTGCTGCACGGCCCTCATGATTCCGTGTAGAGTGGGCGCGTGGTCGTGGTCGAAGTTGGTCTTCTCTTGAAGCAGACGGGCGATGGCGACGTTGAAGATTGTGGAGCGACAGTTGATGTCGAATCTACAGTGTTAGGCCCATCCCTGCAGAATTTGCGTCTTCTCATTCTGACAGTCGTCAACCAGTCTTTATATACAAAACCCAATACTCTTAAAGAGGGTAGGAGAATTCACGCTTATCTGTCGCCAGAAGAGTATATTGTGAGCGAATACCTGAACTTTCATAAAAAAATCGTCGTTCTAATTATTTGATTTTTCCTGCTAAGTGTATTCTACAATCGGCAAATCTAAAATTCAACGTGAAATCACCACGTGGTTTCAGTTGAAATTCCCAGTGGAGGTATTCCGTGTTCGGCTCCGGATCAAGCCTGGCCAACTGCTGCGGAATAAACGCATGCTTGTAGTTAGTAGGACACTTTTAGCTCTACCTAAGTTTTCTGACTCAGTCTATGGATATTTAGCACAATTATAATACGACACACGGTAGCTGCCCTACTACAAAAACCACATGAGGAAAGTTATGAAAACCATAGCTAAGCCGATTTTCTCGCAGATGTGTCACCCAGGCGGAGATAGTTCGGCGAAATTGTTTTGCCCTTTTACTGGTACGCGCGTCGGGTGCATGATGAAATTATTACGTGACCTGCATGACAGAGTTTTTTTTCCAGGCGTGTAAGACATGTTACCATGTGTGGCCCTTAGGCCATCTCCGCGCACAGACTGTGCGACACGGTCCAACCTGAACCAGCGTCCTATCATAGACATAAGCATCCCAGTTTTCCTATCTTATACAGTATTGCCCGCTGTTGTCATCGTCTGGCTGGACATTTTCTGATAACTTAGTCAAGACTGCGAATATATTTTCCTGCTTGGTACACTAAAGACTAACAGATGGTGGTAGGAAACCTCTTATGTTGAACGCACGCTTGGAGCTCTTTTCTTGTAAAAGACGCCCTTCGGACACTTAATCAGCATTAAAGTGTTCGAGACAGTTGGAGCGGCTCTGAGAACTGTCCACCGGAGGAGGGCCATTTTATGTGGCGTTAGGGGAAAATTGTCTTGTTTCATAAACATGAAATAATTTAGTGGAAGGGCTTCAAGTTAAGTTGCTGTCGTCCGAGCGCGTCAAATTAATGCTTGGTATTTTTTGGGGTCAGTGGCTGTAAGAAAACTGCCCGAAGACTTGTTTAGTCCGTCATTCACGATTTATAAGACACCTACTGTTGAGGAAAATGAACATCCATCGAGATGACCGAAATTTATCGCTGCCAAAATTTGTAGAAAGACGTATTTTCCTCCTGCTCTAATATTTTCTACGTATCTCAGCGAAGGTTTCCCTATTAATATCTTTTGTTGGGCCAGAAAGCGAGCGTGCGCGTTCCGTTCTACAATCTGTCCTCAGGATAGTATTTTTCCCCGTAAGACCTTTTTACGAGTTAAATAAGATAGGATCACTCAGATAGTTAATTCAGAGCATCTAAAAAGTCAGTGAGGATAACTAAAAACAAGTGCGATGACTCCTCCCATCAAATTATGCCCTCGACCTCTCTGGACTCACAGGAAATGCGCAGGCGAACACTGCTTCCAATGACAGTACTGATGAGCGACTTTATCACCGAAACCGGTGATGATATTACAGCAGTCGACAGCTCAGATGCGCCCACCCAACAGTCATTGCACAAGGCAAGAACCTCTGCGACGAGTGCACGGACTGGTAGGTTTGGCATGTGCGAGGTTGCGCAACAACTTCATCGTACAAATAATGCGGCCCGTTTGCGTCCGCTACACACATGCATTAACATTTTTGATGACGGTTTCAAAAGTGAATCGGAAAGGTGACGCAAACAGAATTCTTGTTCCAGAAATAAAATTTCCCTCTCCTTAACTATATTCTAGAAAAAGTGTTTTCGCCTGTCTGGAAAAATTATTTCGCAAAACGTTCGCGGGCATCTTGGTTAACGGCTCGTTTTCAAAGGCCGAAACGCGCAAAATATCATTGTTTAACTACGTGACACCTGAAATTACCAATCGTCCTGCTGTGCAGTTATCTTGTTGTCGCCCAGGCTGGCGCAACGCCAATCAGTTGTGCTTTCCTTACTCGGTTTTGAATGTCAGGTTTTTGCGGGTAGTTGACTGCGGTAGCCGGCATGCCTTTACTTTCAGGCAAAAATGGCCTGTTCTGACAGGCGAGTTCGGATTTTAGAAGTCCAAGTGTGGATCACTTGAGATTCGAACCCGGGATCTTTGGTCATGGAGTTTGACGCTCTACCATTGAGCCACCACAGGACAACGGGCCCGTGGCTCAATGGTAGAGCGTCAAACTCCATGACCAAAGATCCCGGGTTCGAATCTCAAGTGATCCACACTTGGGGTTGGGTATGACTGGCTGATGACGGCTAATAAGCCAGAAATGGCCATTCCGGTCTCCCTTGTCTTTGTCGGTATCACCTTATATATATATATATACATATTATGATAGTGGGCGCTCACCGATCAGGTTACGGAAAATGCTCGTTCCGTTGTGCCTTGGGGCTCATACTTAAACCCTCGCAGGCAGTCGCACAGCGACTAGTGATATATGTTGAGAAGGTGATACCGACAACATATATCACTAGTCGCTGTGCGACTGCCTGCGAGGGTTTAAGTATGAGCCCCAAGGCACAACGGAACGAGCATGTTCCGTGACCTGATCGGTGAGCGCCCACTATCATAATTAATATTCTCGATCACAACCGACAGGACAACGGGCCCGTGGCTCAATGGTAGAGCGTTCAACTCCATGACCAAAGATCCCGGGTTCGAATCTCAAGTGATCCACACTTGGGGTTGGGTATGACTGGCTGATGACGGCTAATAAGCCAGAAATGGCCATTCCGGTCTCCCTTGTCTTTGTCGGTATTACCTTTCCAACATACATCGCTAGTCGCTGTGCGACTGCCTGCGAGGGTTTAAGCATGAGCCCCAAGGCACAACGGAACGAGCATGTTCCGTGACCTGATCGGTGAGCGCCCACTATCATAATATATATATATATATATATATATATATATATTGCTACCCGCTATCCCCTTCTTTACCGAGAATAGATAGGTAAATGTCACATCCATGTGGTCTGGGTCTGCAGTTCCACTGACAGACGTGACGGTTTCCTCACCCATAGGAACCGGTTTCAGCCGACGGGTCTGTCCGATCTGTGCTTGGTGGGTAATGACTGACTGGCGGTCAAAGATAAGTAATAGATGGTTATTCCATTTTCTTTCGCCTTTGGTGTTAATACCTCTTAGACATTTATTATTAATTGCTCTGTAAGCACCTGCAATGGTTCTAAAGTGGCGTTCACATGTACGAATAAAAGTCCATATTCCGTTCTTCAATCAGGATGGGCTTGTAGACGCCATACCCACGTGGCTAATATTGTCATTGCTATCGCATCTATTATAACCGCCACCAGTTATGTTACCAACACTACTTTTGGTTATTGTTTGTTCAGACGGATACTGTTTGTTAGAGTTAGCCAAAGACCTATTTTCTAAACATGGCCAATGCTAAAAATGAACTCGGACCATCCGTGTGAAAAGTCAGCATTGACCTGGTTGATTAAACCCAGCTGGGGACGAAAAAGGACAAATCAGGTTATTTTACGTATTATAAAAAACAAAAAGGGAGACCTCATTTAACGCCGTGTGAGATGTAGGGCGCCACGGTGACGATAGGGTGTAGGACTCCAAGTAGATGGCAACTCCAAAAATATGTCCTAAAATCCAGTGTGACTGCAAACATCACTTGTTATTCACCATTCCCATTATTTGAAATTTTATTCGGTTCCTGACTAAATGCATATGGGGGTCCTACACCCTATCGTTGCCAGCGCCACTACCAACTAGTGAAATGGTCCTATTTTCGCACTGTCATGCCCAAGGGGACCGCCAGCCTACCATTCAAAGCATCTTTCAGCGGTCAAACGATTCTTCGGGAAGGGGTACATATTCGCGAAATTGCGATCCAAAGACAGTTTAGTCCTTTTATATCAGATGGCACAACTTCCAGCCCATCGCCTGTTTGGTTTTGCAGATCACATGCGTGTGCTCGCCCTCACTGCCTCAAAAAAGTGTAATCTGTCTTTCTTAGACAACAGTTTGAAATGTTCAGCTTGTGTGCGTCTACTTAAGCTTCGCCATGATGCTTGATGAAAAAATTCTATCAGACATATTGTTTACTTCTCAAATAAAAACAATTCCCCATCAAGTGCGTTTAACCCGGCAGAGGTTAAATGCAGTAATCTGGCGGGTGCGCTGTCATCACAGGCGTCTGACAACCTTTGGCTGCCGTTGCACAATAAAGTGCAATATAGCGCACTTTATTTGCTGTACAGATTCCTTGTACCTGTAGGAGTCCAAGCCGCGGCCACGTCAAATATGCAGAGTGCAAGGATACCTTGGTGTGAACAGACGGCAGAAAACAATAGGGAGACACATTGTACCTTGGACCCGAGGCGGACCTTTTGGATACATTTTCTTGAGGTGTAACCAACTTACCTGCGAGACTTCAGAAGCAAATAACCCGGCCCAGGATAACAGAAAATATACTTTGGCCTCATCACATTT